TGGTCCGGTATAAGTATTAAAAAAATGAGCAGCTTACCAACAAAAAAAACTTTAGGCCAAGAGTAGTCGAATGGCGCAAACCGCAGGTGGCTAGATTCAAAAGTTATGAGCATTTGAAATGGGGCACTTTCGGCTGGGACACCCTGTATTATTCAAATTTCAATCACTCAATTATATATTTTCTTACATTTTCTGATCAAAAATTATTCGAAAACGACCCCAATTTTGCTGAAATCGATTCACAATTACCAATTATTTCAACCTCCTGATAGCCGCCATTTTGCTCCTATGGGTCCGACAAGGGGGTCATGCGGGTCAAATCGCCTATAATTCTAAAAAAATCATCTGTACTGGGTGTTTGTTTATAACTGGAACACTCAGTAACTTTTTTAGTATTTAAAAATAAAGGGCTCGTTTAAGTTGGAAAATTTCTTGGTAAATTGCAACCTTAAGCGATACAACGATATTTGTTTTGTCGTCATAGGTATACAGGGTGCGCCAAAAAGGTATTTTTTTAAATGGAACGCCCTCGTATATTTTTGTTATCCAAATAGTGATTAATATTTTAGTGAAGCTAATTTTCTAAGAATTTGAAAATGCAAAAATATACAGGGCGTTCCATTAAAAAAAAAATGAATTTTTTGGCGCACCCTGTATACCTATGGCGACAAAAAAAAAAAATCGTTGCAGCGATTAAGATCGTTGCAATTTACCAAGAAATTTTCCAATTTAAACGTGCCCTTTATTTTCAATAATAAAAAAGTTACTGAGTGTTCCAGTTATAAACAAACACCCTGTACCAAATTTCATGCTTTTATCACAATTTGAATTTGTATTTTACAACAGTACAACTTTATAATGAGGAAATTATAGACATAAAAACCATCTTCATATCGACTTGCTGTTCCCACATCCAGAAATACCATTACAAACATTCTATAACGAACCATAGATATGAAACCAGGAACAATATAAATCAACAACTAATATTACCTAAAATAAATCGTGACTTAAGTAAACATTCTTCTACGTTTTTGGCACCAAAATTCCATAACTTGTTGCCACTGGAAATGAGGAACAAGAACTATCCTTTAAAAAAATTCAATAAACAGGCATTGACTTACATAATAAAAAATAAACGAAAGTTTTTCTAAACACGAAAGACATATACTTCATGGAAGTGGCGTACTGTGTTGGAGTTTGTCTGAAATTATTCAGTTCTTATTTTAATTTAAGAAATTGGCATATTGTAGGTACTTTGATATATTTGAATTATTTATTGAAATATTTATTGTTATTATTTTCTTTTTTGTTATTTAATTCTCCTAGCTATAGCTTTAATAATAAATTTAATTACTTATAGTTTTTGGCACACACAGATGCATAGACATCTAGGTGCCAATTTATTATTATTGTTGAAATTACAATTTAATTGTACAGCTTATAATTGAATAAATTGAATTGAATTGAATTGAATTGAAATTGAAAATTGAATTGAATTTGCAAGATTCTGCCCGTTTTTTTGATTAACCGCCCCGACTAGAGGCAAAACGTACCAAATTATGTTAGACTTGCGTATAGCTATCCGTCCTTCTTATTTGCTGGGGATAAAAAGAGAAGGAGAAAGACCGCGTGTTGCGCAACGTATTTGTCAATAAAAATGTCAAACAACTTTTGAATGACACTTGTCAAGTTGAATATAAACAGTACTATTATTCTTGTCAGACCACGGGCAATGAACAAGGACAAGCAGATGCCCAGCGTACAAAACGAACACCTCTTACCTGTACTAGTTAGCCAATAAAAAGGCATTGCCTCGTGTTGCGCGCGCATACCAGGTAAAAATAGAAAAGTCTATTGCCAGTTAAGGTTTAAAGTCAGGCCTATAGTTTATTACAGCAACGCGAGATGTCAATACTGTCGCCCCTATAGTGTGCCCAATGAACTATAACCAAAAACTGGAATGCTAACACATAAGGACGAACTTGAAGCCTAGTGCGGCTGCTGCGGAGGGGATATCTGTTTTTGTCGCACTCATTATGTTAAATGGCGAAAATTGCTTCCAACACGTATTCCAATTGATGAAACCTGTGAAGGGAAATATGACAAAACTTTCGAAAACGTCATATGTCAGCGAGCAACAGAAAAAAACAACATTCCCCCTTGTGGCATCTATCTTTCATGGCTACATTTTTTTGGCAGATATGGCAATGTGTGCGCATTCCAGTTTTTAACTATAGTTCATTGAGTGTGCCCTAACTTGACTGTCAAAAAAAAATAGAAATCTTTATTTGGTTAAATTGTGTGATGGAAGGTTTTTTCTTTTTTTGGCGGAAATTCGAAGTATTATTTTGTTTTACATTAACAGGGTTGTAGTTTCGACCAACGCAATAGTTATTTATGTACCAAGGCTTGTAAGTGTTACTTTTTTGGCCGAGGATGCAATTTGCGCGCCGAGGCACGTAGGGCCGAGGTTTGCAAGCATTAGAGGCCAAAAAAGTACACGCTACAAGTCGAGGTGCATATGATATTTTTTGTGCTACCGTACATTCAAGATAATAAATATCATTCCAATATTTTAAGTTCTTCAATACAGGAAAGTATCCCTGTGTTAAATGTGACTAGTTGTAAAAATGTTTCTTTTACTTTCAAAATTACAAAGTAAATAACTATGAAGTATCTCATTTTTATATTATTACCTATCTGTTTATGCTAATTTCAACTTTTTGACGTCTAGGTATTTTCTATTTGTTTCAATAAAATTGTATCCTTAATTTGTTTTGGGTTTTTTATTTAAGAAGTCGAGTGTTTATGTGACATTATTTTGACAGATATATGAACCAAGCAATTTTCACCTTTCATATCAACACTTTTTTGGCCTGGTCAAAAAAGTAACTTTTTTGGCCCGGTCAAAAAAGTAACTTTTTTGACCCGGACTGTAAGTGACACTTACAGTTCATGGACGTAGGTCAAAAAAGTCAACTTACAGAATGGGTAGCACAAAAATAATTTTGAACGTTCATCCGTCGGATTTTTTTCTAAACAGTGTAGCTATGGGCGTATTTCCAACTATTTTTGTAGTAGCGAGAAAACTACAAGTTCAAAAAATTTGAAAAAAATATATGTCCGTAGAATTGCAATAGTAATTCGTAATAAAAATAATGGCAAACTTCATCTATTCGTTTTGAAATAAATGGTGAAAAATTACTTTTTTTTTCAGTTTTTGCGCTATAACTCAAAAATGGCGAGTCAAATTTGCTTAAGAAAATTATGGATTAAAGTATATCGATAACCATAAAACATATATTTTTTTTGGAATTTTTGAACACAAGGTTCAGAAAATAGGGGTTGACTTTAAACCTTAAAAGAGAACAAAGCAAAAATTTGCATTCTACTAATTTATCGAATAAGAAATACCATGAACATTAAACATTATTTGTAAATTAGCGAGAAAATTGGTTGGTTAGTTTCCAAACTAGCCAAAGGTTTAGCTATTTTGTGTTACTAGAAATCATGGTTTTCAAATTAGCCAGGCTGCATTGGATAGTTTATAAACTAACCAGCAATAATTTCAAGTAAATTAGTCAAGACCTTTGGTTGGTTTGCAAACTAGCTGCTATTTTAGTAAAAATTGCGTTTTATATCAAAATAGCCAAAGGGTTGGTTAGTTTGTAAACTATCCAGCTAGTTTACAAACTAGCCAAGTTTGCATATTAACCATAACATATCTAATAACTAGATATTTTAGTGCTAATAGGTACTTTCGGTCTCATAAAAGTCCAATTTAAATTTTGAACTAATAAAAAAAGTTCTAAAAGTGATAAAGCTTGTGAGGCTTTTGTGGCCCAGGTTTATTGAAAAGGTGTTTTCATTCAGGCTTAATGGCCGCCGTAAGTTGGAATTTCTTCCTTTTTCTTAGGAAAAAATTCAAACTTAAGACGGTCATTAAGTCTGAATGAGAACACCTTATCAGTTCTAAAAGTGCCACCAGAGTCAGCTAGTCTTGGTACACAATGCAATTAATTAATTATTAAAACTTGAATTTGAATTCACAAAAAACTTGAAGATTCTTCCTGTGCCGTCAATAAAAACACGTACGCACAACTCGCGCAAGCCGCAAATGAATATCCATAAGCGATTGCACCTCGAGGTTTGTCGAGTTGGAGTCGCCCAAAGTTTGCACGGGATTTTAACCGTTTTTTTATCGATTTGAAATGATTTATGGAGATTTATGAAGATTTAAAAGGATTTAACGAGATATAGAAAGATTTAAAGGGATTTAAACAAATTTAACTAGATTTAAAAAGATTTAAACGGATTGTAAGAGATTTAGGAGAATTTAAATTGATCTAACGTGATTTGATATGATTTATGAAAAAACTAATGTGATTTAGGGGAATTTATTTAGGGATTTAAAGTGTTCCGGATCTCAGATTTTCAGGGATTTAATTGATTTAAAAAGATTTGAGAGGGATTTAAAACGATTTGAAGGGATTTAAACTGATTTGAAGGGATTGAAAACGATTTGACCTCATTTAATCTGATTTAGAACAAAACAAGGTGATTTATGTGATTTAATTATGGATTTAAGTCAATTTGTACACCGATTTAACAGAGTTAACCGCCCCCCGGAATTCTCTATCCACCTTGCTATTCACTAATACAATTGCAGGATTTTTACCAATCCTGTCCTGTATGAAATTATGAGAATTTGAGGAACATTTTTTAAAGCCTTTGAGGTAACTTTTACTGAACAAAAAAGGCATTTTTTCTAAGGTACGAAATTATGAAGATTTTTCTGCTTTTGTAACTGGGTATGTTTCCATTATTTCTTACCTTGTGCTTGCAAAATGGGAAACAGTAGAAAAGGAATTGTTCATTTCTAAAGGAAAACTTATAGCTGATCTAAAGACTATGTTGCTCAGTATTTTATGAATAATTCAAGTGCATGTTTTATTCTTGCAAAAATGAATAAATAAATAGGATACAAATATAGTTACCTTCTCGCCTGTCTGGTAATTGTAGACCCAACAACAGGAACAGCAGCCTGCGGCGTATCAGCCACAATATTAGCAGGAATTTGTCCAGCGGCTTGCATAGCCTTATACTGAAGAGGAGTTATATGCTCGAAACCTGGAGGAGGCACATCCCAATACAGCGAAGGCTTCCTCCTTCTGGAATGACTCCCTCCTTTGTGGCCCCCTCTCGGAGACCTGGACCTGCTCCTTTGCCTACGTTCCGGACGTTCTCTGGAACGCGACCTGCTGGACCGTCTTCTGTGCTCTCTGGATCGTGATCGTCTGCGTCTATCTCTCGGATCTCTTTGGTCGGTACGTTCCCGGCTACGTTCGCGCTCCGGCCGTTCTGGGGCTGGGAATTTTGAGGTTTAAAAACACGTTTTATTGGATTTTTTAATCTTACCTTTTTCGTCACTCATGTTCACCATTAATGTGCAGTTGAAAATGTAACTGAGCTGTTTTTAAGACGTAGAAATTGATTATTTTATTTAATTTAATTTAAATGCAAACAACAAAACACTTAAAATGGCGGATGCAATGAGGCAACATGTCAAGTCAAGAGATGCGGCGTTGCCAGATGTTTATCAACTTTGAAATCATTTTAGGCTCCTTGCCCGTTTATTTTGATTAATAGTGATTTATTTGAACTAAATTTAGTTGTTTTAAGCGTATTTATTACAACTTACAAGGACAAAACAAGCAAATTCTTGTATTTTTTTCTTTAAACACGGCGACTATTTGACGTTTAATAGTTCAATAATAGATGGCGCCACAATAACTAGAGTAATATAATTAATGATTAAACATCATTAAACAGCCTCGGGATGATAATAAATGATTCAGATTATATAAAATCTATTCCAGAACAATCATTTTATGTTTTCTCCGATAAAAAATAGCTCTGGTGCATTTTGAACCGACAGTTTGGAACCATGCAGCGTTGCCAGATGCTTCTAGTGTTATAAAACATTTTTGGCTCATTTGCAAGTTTTTTTCCATTTATTTTGATTTCTTGGGTTTTATTTGAATTTAATTCAAATTTTTCAAGCATATCTATAACTCAAATTTTTGTATTTTCTTTTTGTGCAACAATTTTTTAAAAAAATACAATGTTGCCAGTGTTTCAGTCTCAAAGTCACTACCCTATTGTCAAAAGTGTCAAAACTGCCCCCCCAGCCCGAGCTCCCACAGCTGTAAACTTGTTAAAGATGATTCACAAGTACCCCAGCAATAGAATTTTCCCATTTTTCTCCAAAAATTTGTGTTGATTTCGTAAAATTAAACCCGCACCCTTCAACCAGTCCTTGAATCTTGCTTATTTTGCAAAAATCGCTTTGGTTTTTGGTGCGGTTTAGGGGAGGTACCACACAGGTCCCACCTTTCCTGTGCTGTGAATTTTGTTGGCAAAGCTTGCATAAGGTTTTTAATTTTAAAAACAATTACCTAGTAGCAAACAGTGGCTGGATTTATTTTCGTATCGCAGTATTGGGTAAGTAGTGCGCCAATTTAAAAATAGATTTAGTAAGTAAATTTGAATTTGGGAGGCCCCGAAAAAAACTTAAGCGAAAACCAAAATATTATCCAGGTGTACATGTCAGCCGCTGTCAAATTGAATTCGATCTAGAACCGCCTTGCACCCAAAGAGGAAAAATGTCAGAAGATGGATTTTCGGATAGATTGGAGGAGCTCAACACTATGGACACTGTCGATATACAAATCAAGACTCTTATGGGCACAATGTTCGATGTAACGGTGCTGACGTCGGCCACGGTGGGCGATATCAAGAAGAAAATTTGCCGGGTTGAAGGTGAGAATTTTGTTTATTTATGTTATCCCAGTAAAGGACTACAAAACCCTGAAAATTTCAGCTCATTTGGACTTTTTTTTTAAATTTATTTACAGGATTTCCCCCATTTATTTAATGTTATAAATTTACAATACAGTTGGCAACATATCAATATCACTTACTAGTATCTAACTAATTACCAAATAATACAATTTCCCATCCCATCTTATTATCTACCTATGAATAATTGTAATATCCTAGGTACATGAAACTGAATTAGTTGCAATAATTCTGGACATGGATTTGGGCTTTAATAATATCATACAATATGCACAAATGAGCTTTTAGACATCTATAGGTAATTGTTTAGTATATCCCCAACACCCAATTTGGACTAAATTTTCTACAATATGATTAAATTAGTGTCTAAATAGATAATTTCTACTAAAATAATTTGGCGCAAATGATTTATAAATCTAAAAAAAAAACACGTTTATATAAAATATATGTTGGGGATTTATTAAACTATTAGCCCTAACTAAATATTTAGTATATCCCTAACATTAACATAATTTCGAGGTTTAGCACGCATTACGGGGACAGTTTATTAACGGGCTAGCCCGGTATGAGATTGTTCACTGTTAGAGATAGAGCTCAGTAAAGAGATGTTGACAATAAAAATATTGTAGCAACAATTTCTTCATACAGTCATAGTAAGCTTTGTACTGACGTTGCCTGACAAAGTTAATTTAGTTATAGAGTAGCGTCCCTGGAGCTCGCTTTGTTTTTCAAATAAAATGCTAACTTACCAGGACTAGATCGCACTAGACGGACAGGTTATTTCGGGTTAGTTTGAGTAAATCTACATTTTCTCGATCATTATTGATTCAAATTGATGTGTCGCTCTTTTGTTTAGAGGTCGCCGTTTCAAATGTCGCTGTTTCAAATGTTGCTGTTTTAAATTCCGTTCTTTTCATAATATGTCGCTCTTTTCCAAAGTCGCTGTTTTAATGTATCGCGCTTTTGAATGTCGCTCTTTTGATACGTCGCTGTTTTGCTTAGATGTCGTCGTTTCAAATGTCGCGGTTTCAATATGTTGCTCTTTTGGTAAGTCGCTGTTTTGATTTGTCGCTCTTTTTAAATGTCGATGTTTTGAATGTCGTTAAAATGAGACCGCCATTTTGAATATCGTCCTTTTCAACCAGAGCCGTAAATTATTTGTTTAGAAGTTGTTGTTACTACATATCTATTTAGACACTAATTCGATCATATTGTACAAAGTTAGGTGTTGGGGATATATGAAACTGTTACTTAGGGGTAATTATTTAATAAATCCCCAACATATATTTTCAAAATCAAAAATCAAAATCAAAATTTATTCATGTTAATTGTCGCAATAGCAACTTACCTAAGTCAAATACATAATATAAAGAGTAAAAATTACTTATTTCTAACAATAATATCACACTACACTGAAAAGAACTTATTTTAAATAAAAACAAAAAACTGGATTTAACACTCAACACATAGATTAAAAACAGTATAAATTAAAAGCATAAAGATCAAAGAAACATAGTTAGGCGCTTCATTATTCATTACACATTAAACATATTTCTACACATTAAAATCAAAGTGGAAAAATTCCTCTAAAGAATAAAAACTGTTTCTCATCAACATCTGTTTGATTGTTTTTTTAAAAGTTAAAAATGGCAAGCTTTTAATTTCAGCTGGCAGTTTGTTAAATAATTTAATAGCCCAGTAACCGGGACCATCGTGACACCTTCCCAGACGCCAGTACACTGGCACCAGAGCATCCCTGCCCCTGGTCTCATAGTCATGCACACTTCGGTGCACGATAAAGACATCAGGATTTTTTTTAACATAAAGAAGGTTCTCCAAAATGTAGACAGAGGGAACGGTCAGTACGCCCAGCCTCCCAAAGGCCACCCTACAGTCCTCCCTGAATCCCAAACCACTCAACACTCTAAGTGCCTTCCTCTGCATTCCAAAGACACGTCGAGCATCGGCTGCATGGCCCCAGGCAATGATTGCATAAGAAAAGTGTGCATGGAAAGTTGCAAAGTAGGCTGTTATCAATACCTGTTGCGATACCCTATCAGCAAGATTTCTGAGAAGAAAAAGATCACCAGCCAACCTCGAGACTATTGTGCTGATATGTAAGCTCCATTTCAGCCTAGGATCAACAGACACCCCAAGAAATCTGGCACAGTCCATGGAATTTATTTGGTTGAGTTCTCTCATTGAAAATACCATCCTTGTTGTTTTTTCAATATTCAAGAGCAGCTTATTAAAGTTAAACCAGCCCTGAGCCAACTCCTGTGCAACCACGGAACCCTCCAGAGAATCCTCCAATGTATCAGCAGATACGGATACTGTTGTGTCATCGGCAAAGAGAGTGTACTTTGAGTGTTGGTCTATAAATGTAGATGAGAAAAAGTATGGGCCCCAAGACGGAGCCTTGGGGTACCCCAATACTTATTTCTCCCTTTGCCAATGTCACACCAGCATAACGCACACACTGACACCTACCTTTAAGGTATGACTGCAAAAGGCCTATACTGTTGGAGCAAAAGTTGTAATATCTCATTTTCTCCAAGAGAATTCCATGATCTACACAGTCGAAGGCCTTACTCAAATCGCAGAACAAGACCGTGTTGTATTGATAGTTATGGAAAGTGTCCAATATACCCTGGACCAGATGCAGAATGCCCATGGAAGTATCCCTATTTTGCCTGAAACCAAACCGGCAGCCATTAAAAATACCATTACCCTCAAAGAAACTGACAATCTGCATCGACATGCACTTTTCCATGACTTTAGATATTATTGGAAGAAGAGATATTGGGCGGTAGCTGTTAGGAGTGTCTCGATTTCCTTTTTTAAATATTGGAACTACAACCGCAATATTTAGAACGTCTGGAAAAACACAATGTGTGAAGCACTGATTTATCAGCAGTGTCAAGGGGATGATAATTTGATTTTTTATGCATTTGATTAGCTTTACATTAATGCCAAAAGTATCACAGCTGTTCTTATTTTTTAAGTTATCAATAATTTCACGTACATGAATAAAGCTCACCTCTTTAAATACAAACCGTTCAGACACATTCAGGTTGTCTAGATTATCTACAGGATTTAAATTGGAAGTTGGTATTTCAGCTATAAGTTTCTGAGCTATGCTTAAGAAGTAACTATTAAAATCATTTGAGTTAAGAATTTCACTATTAACATTTTTATTATTTCTGTTGTTGTTTATGATACGTCACATTTGCTTACTTGGGTTATTTGAGGACTTTATTAAATTATCATTGGCTAAAATTTTGGCTCTACATATTTCTGACCTATATATTTTAATAAATTCGCTATAATACCTTTTATTACCTATAGTATTGTATTGCCTGCAAATCTCACCAAGAAACCTTAAATGCTCCCTCATTCCTCTCAATCTGTCCGAAAACCAACTTATGCTATTCAAATGGTCTGATCTTACAGAATAACACCTTTCTGGAAAAGACTCCAAAAATGCTTTCTCCAAAACACCCATAAATTCAGTAAACTTGTCATTTATAGACATATTTTTATGTTTAACAAAATCCCAAGAGTGATTTGATATTATATTATGAAATCTGAAAAGTCCTTGTTGGGTTATTGGTCTACAAACCTTCTGTGCCCCAACAACCTTACCCTTGTCCACAGAAACCAAAAAATCCACTATTTGTCCTCTGTGATCAGATACATCCAAATCAAGAACCTCTGAGCCCACAACATCAGTTGTTATACCAACAAAGATATTATCCAGACAAACATTTTGTCTTGTTGCCTCAAAAATAGTTCTGCGTAAACCAAAACCACCCAGGGTATTCTCCAGAAGCTGGGCATCAGCTCGCTCCCCACCAAAATGTACATTAAAATCCCCGGCTACTACCATGCTCTTATGTAGGCCAAGAGATGACATCAAATTTTCCAAAGAGCCCAAGAAGGTGTCAAAACAGCCCGAGGGGGGACTGCATACTAACTCAATATCCTTTTCTGCGACAAATGCCTCTAGCTGAGGTATTTTTTTCCTTAATGATCGGATATTAACATGCAATATCCTTAAGCTTCTTGATGTTTCGTGCTGCTTTGGACTAATCTCTGGTGTTTCACCCCTATCGGGCGCTGGAGATTGAGAAAATGGTTGACAATTGTACCTTTTGGCCACATTTCTGATGTTAGGTAATTTTATATAAGTATATTTTTTTATTTTTTATTTATATACCATTCGCGCCAAATAATTTACGTTGAAGTTATCTATTTAGACACTTATTTAATCATATTTTACAAAATTTATTCAAAATTAGGTGTTGGAGACATATGAAACTGTTACCCATCTATATTCTAATAACTCTATATACATTATAGTTCTTACTTCATTGTAAGTGTGAGTGGTTTTTCACCTTGTTGATTGGTGTACAAATCACTGGTTAATATATGACAATACCAGGTAAATACTATGTCAGTACTGTCAATACTATGTAATACCTACTTGTTAATTATGTAGGTAATATAATATGTCAATACTTGTAGATATCTAGGCAATATATGTGAATGTCATTGATTGATACCCATTAATAACACGTTAATACCTGTGGATATGTCAATACCTAGAATTCTGGCAAGCCAAATATTTGATTTTAGTCTATCAATAGCATGGCAATACCTGGCAATATGTGATAATACTAGGGAAATACCTGGCAATACGTGGAAATATTTTGTTAATACATGGAAATAGTTGGCAATAACTTGTTATTAGGTACATAAAAATATCTGTTAATACATGAAAATATCTCAGTACTGTTAATCGGTGTACAAATTTTGTTAGGTAAAAACCCCTTGGATCAACTATATTCATATTTAGTCTCAGTGAACTCAGATATCTATTTTGAACTCTCTGCAACAGTAATATAGGCATATTGTAAAACGGTGACCATATAATTGACCCATATTCAAGTTGAAAGTGA